ATATATGATAGAATTTCCAGAGAAGTAATGCTACACATTAAAATCTGTGACCTGCTTTGATCACCATTCACTATGGATATCTATGTAAATAAATTTCTTCTATATAATTATTAATGCCTGAAATACACCTTACTAAATGGGTGTAATTTAAGCAGTTCCCCGATTGTTGGACTCACTTATCAACCCTTTGCTATTAGTAACAATATTGTGATGAATAGGCCTGTTTGAACTGCTGTTTACTTCCTCAGGATAAATTCTAAAATTACTAAATCAATGGGACATTTTTTGGTTTTTAATATATAATGACAAATTGCCTGTTGGATATGTTGCACCAAGTATATGTCCCATTTGCATGGGTGTTTAATATTGTTTTTGACCTTTGCTAAATTCTTAAAAGGTAAAGGATCATATGCATCATGTTTTACTTGGAGTTCTTTTAATTAATAGTAAAGTTCACCATTTTTCATGAGTGGCATCAGCCTCCAAGATAACTCCCGATTGTTCCCACCTCATGGTAGTCATACTCCTGGGTAATTCTATCCCACAGGGAGTCAGGGCTGATCTTTGTGACCAGTAGAGTACAGCAGAAGTGATCATTTATCGCTTCTCACACTAGGTCACCAAAGACAAATTCTGTTTATGTACATCACATGTTCTTTGTTGTTTGTAGCTTAATATGCGCTCGACTGCATGAAAAATCTGTAGAATGTTCCCCATCTCTTGCAGATCATTTCTGACTATAGTCTGCCCCCCACTTGGAACTGCTTTTATCAGAATGAGCTTCGGTGCTGTGAGGAACCCAATGAGAACTGAAGACTTCTGGCAAGAGCTAGTGGAGTGCTGAGCATTCCAGTCACCACGCATGTGAGTAGGCTGACCAACCATCCTAGGATTTAGGGGTTGCTAGGACACTAGGCTTTTAGTGCAAACGCCAGTGAAGCCTCAGACAAACCGAGATGAGTTGGTCACCCCTCAGGTGAGTGCACCATTCAGATCTACTCAAGTCTTCACACAGCTGCAGCTCAAGCCAGTACCTACATGTGCTCTTCTATAATGACTCTGAGTCAGCACCACATAGCTAAGCATCTCCCAGATTTCTAATCATCAGAACTGTGTGAGCTCTTACGTATTTCTCATTTTAAGCTGCTGAGTTTAGGAATAATCTTATTCCACACAAAAGCAAATGCATTTTATCACAAAACATTTTATAAGTATTTAATATATGGTAAGGTGACAATTTTACCATCTAGGAAAGATTATCTAATAAATAGTGTAGGAAAAATTGGTTTTCCATGTGAGGGAAAATGTAAAAGTGGCACAAAATGATCACTGGATTTATTTATGATATCCTAAAAAGGAAACAGGAGATACAGGTGTGTGTGTAAATGGAAGCTCACACTTGTTCAGTGGCCTTGGCCTTCAGTGCACACTTCCTGTCACCCCTACCTCATCATCCTTCCGGTTTTGGTGGAAACATCCAGGCCAGCTGTTCACGATGTTCTCCACCACCAGGTAAAGATAAAGGCCAACTGGCATATCTCTCATGGCTACTTCACCCTTGCCACATTTTTATAAATTACCTGGGTATTTGTACTTTTAAGGCTGACTTCCCAAACTGCAAGTTTTCCAACATAAGGTATTTTACCTTGTCTACTCTTATAGACTAAATTACTTATTATTCAGTACCTGTATAGGGGGGCATTTTCTCCTACCTCACTTCCTAGTTCTCAAAGTTAATATATATATATATATATATAGCACAACCCTTGCTTCCTTGAGGGTACTCCTTGCTTTGACTTCCACTTTTTTGGCTGCAAGGTCTAAATACACAGACCCTCATGTTCTACCACCAAGAACTGCACCAGTTTCCTCTACCTCCTTGGCGAGGACTCACTGGGCATTTTAGAGCTTACACAACCTAAAGAGAAACTGCAAGTTGAAGCATGGCCAAGTCACTGATGACTGCATTTCATGGCATCCGAAGATACTGTAGGCTGTAAAACATTTAGAAACCAGGTGTACTCAATGATAACAGAAGGGAAGGACATATTGCAATTGATTGCATAGGCATTTTTTCAATTTAGCATTGATGACCTTTGAGTTAGTAGGAATTATTTCTCAGACTAGCTACAGTTCGCCTGCCTTAGTTTTCAGGGGTATCATGTGTTTTCATCATTTTCATTTTCTTACAGGTTCTTAGTGAGAAGGAAAGAGTAACACTCAATGGCTGCTAGCAAACCATAGTATTAAATCAGATGACTAGAAATTTGTTTTTAGTTTCTTGTGAAGTCATTCTCCCCTCCAGTAACTCACTCATTCTCCCTAAAGTTTTAGTGTGTAGAAGTGTATATGTAAAACAAGAAGTAAACCCAACCAAAAAGTGGTCTATAGGCCAAATAGCAATATATGACACTAGCTGCCATAGTTGTGCAAAGGCTCAGTATGCATTTGATACTAAAAAGTCAACCTAAATCTGATTCCCAGGATTATGACACAGTCAACAAATAATTGAGCCATTCTAGATGCTAGGTGCCAATCTGGACAGCAGCGACAGTAGGATTGAAGCAAATGAAACTCTCTGCCCTCAGAAAGAGTTTATTCTCATTGGAAAACATATTCAATACACGGATGATGTTATAGCATTATTAGTTGTATTTCATTTTCTCTGTGAGCTCTGGCAAGAAAGTCCTAAATCCCAGTGACTTATGACCATAGACATCTACTTCTTGGTCATATAATATGAAGATGACAGAATGCCTCCTGGCTTATGAGCAGGGAATAAGTTGCTAGTGTTATCTGGGACATAGTACACTTTGGGTCTATCACTAGTGGCAGCCTAGAATATCATAATCTATCATGTTTCTTCCAAGTATACCTTACCTGGAAGGGGCCTTATTTATGGAAGTTTAACAAGAGGAAAATTGGGAGAGTGTGGATATGGATAGAATTTCCAATTCCCAAGCCCAGTTTAGTTTATCATGTAACAGTGATGCAAATAACTAAAAATTCACTAAGGGCCAATTAGGGCAATTAACGCTAGGACTATCATCTACCAAGATGAAAACCTGCATTTTATGACGTATGGAAATTCAGCTGGTAATGATATTATTTAAGGTAATACTGATTTTAATAGGCTCTTTTGACAGGGAGAGACTTGTGAGCAGAGAAAACAAATATATCTAGAGGGATAATAACTGGAATACCCAACCCGAGAGAGTGGTGCTAACCTTGAAGCAAGCAGGTGCTGTACTTGGAAGAATTCATTAAGTGTGAGGGGTGAAGAGGCACCTCTGGACAGGATACAAATTGCTCCTTCCAGAAAAGCACACTCAGATTCCACCAGAAGCTGACATATTTTGAAACATCTGTATTTTCTTTCATTCTGCAAGATGGCAGTGCCACTCTGCAATTTATCCTAGTGTCCGCTTCTCCAATTCTTTGAGATGTTTCCAGTAGGATTCCCAATGTGTTTACTGAAGGAGTGCTTGTTTTACACCTTATTGTGTTGCATCTATTACTTCTATCTTGTTCTTTTTGTAACCACATCAGGAAAAACAGGTGTTTCTCAGTGCTAAATAGCTAACTGCTAATATTAAGAAATCTCTAGAAATCTCTAGGATTATAATTAGTACTGAAATTCTGAAAAACAAGGAAGTGGAAAGGGCCCTTTCTGTTTGTCCTGTATGCACCACAGTCCCCCTCATTTGCTGGATCAGCCCAGGGGGACTTAGTAAGCACCTCCTAGCACATTGTTAATAGCTGGAATTTAAATTCCAAATATTACAGAAGGGTATGACACTCTTATGCTTATAGAGGGAGGATTGAGTTTAAAAGTTTGGGAAATCCCACTTTTGAATATAAACTATCACCATTCAGAGGATCAGAAATCACACAGCCAAAAATCCAAAGCAAATGCTAGCTGTGCCTGGACATAATGTGTAAGAGCTCAACTTGCAGAATTCTGCTGGACAGGGTCAAGAAAGGTCAAAGGGCAAAGCTAGAGGCAGGATTTCTTTTTTCTTTTTGAGACAGAATCCCAGTACGCAGTTCAGGAAAGTCTTGAGCTCACGTTGTAGCCCATGCTGGTCTCGAACTTGCAATGATCCTCCTGCCTCAGCCTCCAGAGGGCTGGATTACAGGAATGCACCATCATGTCTGGCCTTTTTTGGGGGGTGGTGGTGGTACAGAGATTGAACTCAGGACCTCACATTTGCCAAGGAGGCACTTGTGTCACTTGAGTTAAACCCCCAGCCCAGAATGATCATTTTTTAAAATCTGAAACATTCACAGGATGGGAAATACATGACAGTCTCTGAATTAAAATTTCACAAACTGAACAGGAAAAGGGTGCCAGGTCTCATGCCGCTTTACAGCCCCATCCCAGCCTATTCATCATCATCCTTGGAGCCTCAGTCAGGGCTGTCTCCAATAACACTGCCACATGACACCCCGCTGGGAAACAGCACCAGTGACACTGTCTGGGGTCTTTGGAGGGTAAGTGTGGAAGCTGGGTTATAAGACTCCCCGAGTGGCACATGAGTTCTCCAAGGGGTCCCTCGATAGAAGGTGGGTTACCTGAAAGCAGAGGGGACAACAGGCATAACAGGAGTCTTCTCACCCCAATGGTAAAAGAGCAGCCAGAGTTGTCAGACAGAGGCGGTAACCTAGATGGAATGAAGTGGGGTGGGGGAAGCACTGGCGTTTTCTGTCACATTCACCTAATCCAGAATATTGTCAGCAAGAAAGGTTTTGAACTTCAAATAAAACTCACTGATCAGTTTCATTAATTATCTTGTGAGCCTCCTGGGGTATCCTTTAAGGCTACTGCCCTTTGTGCATATGTATCTATTTACCAATAGAATCAGAGCATGTTTTAAAACTCGAGAATTAGAAATATAAAGCCACAACATTTACTAGATTGGCTCTTTTTAAAGTTTAACACATTAATTTAGTAATTTAATATGATGAAGTCAAGTGAAATAAAATCTGAGGCTCTGGCATTCACTGTTCAAGTTATTTAATTTTATTATATTTCAAAAATGAAAAGAATGAAATAATATTTTCCAAAGACCTGATAAATAGTACAGCATCTTCAAACAATTTGAAAGAAAATAAAGTTTAGATTAGAATCTCATCTTACATAATGAATAACATAAATTAAGACATCCTTTAAATCACATGTATCTAGTGAATAGTTACGTTTGTATATAAAGAATATTTGGTTTTCTAGCACCTGGCAAACATTTTATTATTATTTATGACAAATGGCTTACACTATTAACAAGTTTTCAAAGCTTGACAATGTAATAATAAATAATAACAGAATAATATATTTCTCTTAAAAAATAAATTATGAAACATAGCTTAAAACAATCAATTAGAACTAATATATCTTCCAAAGTTTAGAAGGGCAAATGGCTCAGAACTAGGCAAATTAGACACACTGCACAGGATAGAGAGCTTCCCTGCAATGAAACCACTCTAGAGATTGTTTCTGACTCCCTGAAGAGTAAGTTGAGAGGCACCAGTGTTGGCAAATGCTGTATACATATATAGTTAGAGAAAAAACCATCTTAATAATAAAAGGTTCCTCATTACCTCTGTAACAGCCCAAAGAGCCATTTTAAAATCAAAAAGTAAAGACTTATTTGTGTGTATACTTGTGTTCAAATAAAATATAAACGTGAAACAGTGCAAACATGAAAAGCACACGACAGTATCATATTACTTGAGAAAGACACGATGGCTACAGATTTAACTTTAAATTCTCTGCTGAGGTAAAATTCTCATGAACTAAATGATAAAAGTTGTCAATGCCTGGTATTTCCTCTTCCAAATCAAAGTGGTTTGGCTTTGTATGCTGTATGAAATATATCTCTTGCATAAAATATATCTATAAACTATATAATGAAAATAACAAAAAGACGTAAGAGATGAACTTCGAATTTGAATGTGAATACTAACATGTTAAATGGCTTTTAAAGAAGTAGGCTTGATGACAACATAGTTTTCCAATTCTGGATATGACATTTTAAGAGGAACCATTTCTACAAAACAACAACTAAGAACAGCAGCATGAATTGGTAAAAATTTAAATTTCTGAAAACACTTAGGATTTTTCGTCTTTAAGCTTCTCAATGTAGTGGCATAGTTTCAGGGATGGCCCCAGCTTCAAACCCATATGCTTCATGACCACCTCACTGTCGAGCAGCAGCAGGGCTTTCCCATCAATTTCCTACAGAAAGAAGAGAGTTGTAACTATTAATAATACTTTCACATTTGATCACAATGCCTCTCTCTTTATATATAAGAATGTGGGAGTTTTCAAAAATGGCGGCTTGCTCGGGGATTGGGCGGAGAGTCTCTCTGGAGAAATCGTATTAGATGCTAGAATATGACAACATGGAGAGGGCCAGACAAATGGATAACGATTCTTATTACCCAAGACAGCACGGCTGGAGGATTTAAAGTTGTGCTAAGACTGCGAAGGATGATAACGGGAGGCTGCAAATCCTGCGCCTTTAATGCAGCAAACTGACCAGTGGACCCAACAGGAAAAGCTGTGTTGGCTTTTGGTGACTGCTGGAAATTGAGACCCGGGACCCTGCGAAGCAGCCAGGACTGCCCCGCTGCAACAGAGGAGATTGTGAAAAGCTCTGGAGCTCCTAAGCTGAATGCTGTGCAGTTTTCTGACCATTCCACGCTGTGCTGGGAACACAGTGAAGGCAAGCAGTGTAGTGTGCAGTAGACTCAAGAGGAAGACGTGCACCAAGCCCTGGTGAGTACTAGGGACTGGGTCCCGGGGCTGCTGTGGTTGGCCAGAGAACATTTTGGAATAGGGCAGAGCCCGCCACCACGGCAACTTCAATAACACAGAGTCTGGCAGAAGACATCTTAGAGTTGGGCAGAACCTGTGGCTCAGTGACATCACCGAGTTGCCCCTGGCTTAGAGAGGTCTGGTGGAGGACATCTTGAAATTTGGCAGAGCCTGGCACCATGTTGGCTTCAGTGTCATACAGAGAACTAGTGGAAGACATCCTGGAATTGGGCAGACCCACTGTCCTGGGGCTCCTGGCACAGAGAGGTCTGGAAGAGAACAGCTGGGATTGGGGCAGAACCCTGTGCCACAGTGACATTAGTCAGCTGCTTCTGGCACAGAGAGAAATGGCAGGATCTGCTGGGGCTGAACCAAGCCTCTGCTTGGGGCCCAATAAGCAGATACAAAATAGTCGCAACTCTGTGACATCCAGAAAGTACAGCCTAATTTACGATTGACTGGCACAGAGGCTGGAGGCTAGCCTGCACCGTCCCTGCATCCCTGCCTACCCCAGATAACAGCAAATTTGGGAAGTCAGCAAAAACTCAAGTCAGCACGCTTCTGAAAGGCCCTAAGCTATACGGAGGGGGCCAGAGACCCCCAGGACACTCCAGTCTGAAAGAAACCAGAAACATGATAAGAGATAAAAATAAAAAAAAAATCTCCAGCTACCCAACATGAGAAAATAAGCCCAGGAGAAGTAAACACTGAAGAGAACAAGCACAGTAACCATCCAATACTGGACACAGCATCAGCTGAAATTAAAAAATACCTCCATGATCTCATAGATGAATTTAAAGCTGTACTCATGATCCAAGTGAGGCAAGATATAAAGAGACTAATTAAAGAAATGACAAGCCCCGCCCAAGAGAACACAGATGGAAGAACTGAGGAAATCAGAAAAGAAAGAGAAACTTCTGAAGAAGAATTTAAACATAACTTAGAATACATGAAACAGATCCAAAGAGATTACCAGGAAACTAAAAACTCCATTGAACACTGGCAAAATGCCCTGACAGAAACTAAAGACAGTCTTCTGAAACTTGAAGAGAGATTTATGATATATGATCGTGAAAGAAAAAAACCTCTTAAAAATAACAAGGAACCAGAAAGAAACAATTCAAAGGCTAGAAGATGACAAAAGGACACATAACTTAAGAATAAAAAATGTGAGTGAGGAAGCAGGAGCAACCAAAAATGAAATACAAAGAATATTCACAGATATATTAAAGCAAAATTTCCCATGTATAGCAAAAAGAAATGATATCCAGATAAAAGAGGCATACAGAACACCACTACCTACAACCAAAACAGATCTACTCCTAGACATATAATAATCAAGATTCCAGAAATCCACCAAAAGAACAGAATATTAAAAGCAGCCAGAGAAAAGAAGCAGATTACCTACAATGGGAAAATTATCAAAATAACAACAGACTTATTAACACAAACTCGTAAGTCAAGAAGGGAATGGGGAGAAATATTCCAAGTCCTGAAAGAAAATAATATGCAACCAAGGCTCATATACCTGTCAAAACTCTCTCTCAAAATTAATGGAGAAATAAGATGCTTCCAAGACAAGGAGGAACTGTGGGAGTTCGTGGCCACCAATCCAACCCTACAGAGAGTGCTGAAGGACATTCCAGAGAAAGAGAGGAAGGGATACCAGGATTCCAGCAACAGTGGCAGAGAGGCCTCAATCAACGGGGCAGACAGTGGAATGAGAGAGTAAGGTGGACAAACTATAGCAGTAAAGTGGAGTAGCAGACATGAGGCAGAGATGGTAAGCTATAGTCTTTAGTATAGACAGCTCTGAAACACTATAAAAAAGGCAGAGGTCATTGTTAAGAGTGTATCAGGATTTAAAAGACACAGTAGTCTTATCGTCATATTTAGTTTGAATTTAATTTGTTCTGGTCTGTCCACCTATGTCAGATTTGAGGGCACAGACATCTGACCCAAAAATAGCAGGTTATACCATGGTAACTATCCTTACTTTCCCATTAACTTAAACTGAAATCCTGTATTACTTACATTGTCTTATTATGACTGATCTTAATTGAATTCGATTCATAGGACCACGGGTTTGCCTTGGCTGATTTTATTTGAATTTGGTATGCTTGTTAGTATCAACCCTAAAAGTAGAGGCAACTACTCTGAAGATGACAAGATGTAAAGGATATCCATACTGGTATTAATTATTAACAGCTCTCAAATCCTACAATGCTTTCAAAGTTGTGTTTTTATAAAAAGAGGTAATACTATGTTTAACTATATTAAGCTGATGATGTGGACAAATCTATTGAAAATAAGAGAAAACATAGTAACTACAGAAGATCACCTATATTGTGGTCTTAAATGTCTGATCCATTGCATGTTTTTCTAGGAATTTGTTTTGCTGTCTTGTGATTTGTTTTTCCCTATAATACAGAGAGGAAAGATATATCTCATTCACACACGAGATTTTTTAAAAAAATTATTTACGGGAACAGATGATATAATGCAAGATGTAAGAACAGATACTCTGAAGAAGAGACACTAAGAAACCCAATGCTATTGTAGCATTACAATATAAATTCTAGCAATACTATTATTCACTGATCAGAATGATATTAGTCTGGTCTCTTAGGTTCAGTTTCAGCATATGTAAAGATGGGGACGACTACCACAAAGAGAATGAGAGATGCGATATTAGTTATTATTGTCTTCCCCAATGTTAGATCTTGAAGACCTAAAAAGCCTTCATCATCCTGTAATGATTTGATTAGTTCTATAATATGCAATATGTATATAATGTGGGTGAAGATGGGGACAACTATTTGTAAGAAACTAGAGACAGTTTGATAGACAGTGAAGATCTCCAGTGGACTTGCTTTGAAATCTGTATTTCTTTAAATTGTTTTTTAACTGCTTTGTTCTGTTTTGATATGTTTAATCTTACCCTCTTTGAGATGTAAAACAAGTGTGTAGGACTGATAACCATATTACTGAGTTTTTGTTCGATCATTGAGCAGAACTGTTTGCAGTGTCACTTTTTGAATGTCATTTTAAATACTTTAATTTTGTAACCTGAACAGCTATTTCCTAGATGACAATATGTAACTTATCAACCAGTGATTTCTTACTGTTTATTTTTCTGTAATTTTGTATTATTTCTACCCTTTTTTAATCTCCGTGTATTTTTTGTTTCCTTTTCTTTAAATAAAAAAAACTAAAAAAAGAAAAGAATGTGTAAAACACTAGAGAGCAGCTTATTCCAAGTGTGCAGTCCCTGAATACGCGTCTACTTTATAAAAATTATTAAAAACAAAATCTGAAGAGTGAAGCATTTGATACTTTATAAACACCCTGCGAATTTTAAGAAAAAATAAGTTTAATATTTAAAAATGAACTATGTCAAGCCATGCAATTTTAAACACTGGATTATGAATAAAATAGTATGTAATTATGAAAAAAAGATATTTAATATACTAAGCACATGAACACCCATTTAAAGAACTATCATTATGTTACCATTTAAGGATCTAACACTGCACAAAATAACCTTTCTCACAAATGGAAAAATTAGTTGGCAGGGTTTGCCCACCAGCCACACAACTTAGCATCTAATAGAAGGGTCATTTGAAAGGATTATGGCACCAGGAAAACCAGATCAAAAGATACATTACATGTTTCCTCAGGAGGCGATTAAGAGGGTCTGATATTTTAGGATCTGTATGGTTCAGAAACAGGATCACATCTTCCACAGACCAGTTAACAGGGTCATCAGGCAAGGTTAGTCTTCTAACAGCAGCATTAGTTTCAATTGGAGAACTTGTAGCTTGAGTGGGGAGAAAAAAAAAGAAAAGTCATATTTCATCTGATCATTATCTTGAAAGAAGAGATGTTAGGTAGGATGTAATAGCCTCAGTCCTAGAACCTTCTCTTAACTATCCAAGCAAGGACACAAGATTTCAACTGTGAAGTCTAAACAAAACCTACATAAAGATGATCAGGGAATAGCAGCATCCCATCTGACCTCTTGAAACTGCAGAAGCAGCTTCAGAAGTTCCTTTTAAAAGCTTCAGAGATCACACACACAGAAAAGGCTTCACTATTTAAGGTCTTTTTGTCTTCAGGCAAAAGATATGTTATTTGGGTTAAATTAGGTTGATCTAATCTAACCCATTACTCTCAAATTTGTTTCAATGAATTTCTCTTAAATTTTTTCTCTCCCTTCCCCAAAATAGTTTGTTTTGCTAGCTAAAAACAATGGAAAATCCCCAAATTTACTGTTTTATAATTGCTTACATTTGGGTTTTTTTTGTGTTTTGTTTTGTTGTTGCTGTGTGCTAAGGATGGAACTCAGTGCCTTGTGACTATTAGGATGCTTGGCCCAAAATTATTCATTTTAATAAACAAATTTCAATAACCCCATTAACTTCGTGACCCAAACTGGTTTTTTTCCCAAATCTCTCATGAATTCAATATCGTGAGTTTGAAATGACATGTATTACAAATGCACTTTTTGTCTTTTTGAAACAGGATTTCACCATGCAGTTCAGGCTGGCCTTGAACTCACTTTGTAGTCAGCACAAGCAGCATGATTTAACTTGTATTCATCAACTTTAAAAAAAAAAAAAACCAGTGTATTCAATTCAGCATCACTTTTGCTCTTTAAATTTTCATCTTTCATGGCTTAAACATTATTCTGGATTTAGAAGAAAATAAGATTATTTTCTGCTGAACTAACTTTAATATTTTGAAAAGTAACTTCGACATTTAAAAAAATTCTCTTTCATATTTAATTGCATGACAGTAGATATTCTGATTGAAGTTTTATATTTTTAATAAAGAAACACTGAGCTATGAAATAATTTGACCTCAACAGCTATGCTGTTCACTAAGCTGTGCTGACATTTCTTTGTGTCCTGAGAAGTATTCATTTACTGAAAGAGGATGCTGGGCCTGCTAAAGTTAGGATTCACAGAAGGAGGTTTTGGCATTCTCTAGAACCCAGTAACATTGAAACAAATTATCTTTTTTGTATGAATTAGTCAAAGTCACAGCATTTTTTTCCTATCATCTGGTATGTGGTGATCTTAGGAGTGTTTAGAATTATTTATCCAGAGGAAAGGGTGAAGAAAAGTACAAGACTGAAAACATACAATGAGGCATTAAGGATATCAGTGGGGAAGAACTGTGTTAATAAATGAGCACAGTGCCTTGCACATAACGTACAATTAATAAATGTTAATCATTATCATAAATGTCACGTAAAAAGAGCCCTCAAAATAGGAAACAAATACTTTGTACTAGTTTGTAAGAAAGATGTTGAAAAATACAAGTTAAATAGTACTATTTGTAATATGTGTCATTTCAAGCTCACCAAAACTAGATGTGTTTCGGAAGGATGATCTAGTAGGCTCTCTCTCTGGGCTACCCATGGCGAACGTATGTGTCAGGCTGGGCTCTCTCTGGGTGAGAGGAGCTGCAGGTGCTATTGGGGAAACTGCAACAGAGAAGGTGGCATTATCAGGAAACCTGGGGCTGCAGAGCAATTGAGGCGCAGGTATATCATCACTTGTCATACGGTCATGGTGAGTACCGCCACTGAAGATGGATTGAGCTGGCGAACCAGTATATTGCTCGCGTTCCTGTAGAGTTTCCATCTCTCCTGGTAATACTTCGTAATGAAAAGATGAGATCACGTTGTTTCTATCACCAGTATTTTGTGGTCTGCGAACTGGTGAAATTGGGCTGTAACTTTCAGAGTGCGAAAATGAACTGCAATGCCCTGACATCTCCATTTCCTCGGATTTGGCTTTGTTAGAAACTTGGGAACTGGGATGCTTTCTTGAATGTCCCAGTGGCCTCTGAAGTGACACAAACCCAACAAATGGATAAAAAAGACATAAATACTCAATATGTTACTAGTGATTTTCTATGAAACACTGCTCTATATTATTACAATAAATTCTCTTTCAATTTTAAGATTAATGCTTATTTTCCTTCAGCCCTACATCTTAATTGTGCTTCATTTATTTTAAGTACAAACAGAAAAATACTTGTTACATATTTACCAAAATTAAACCTCAGTATTCTTCCAAAAATTTCAGTTCCTGTCTGCTCCTACAGTAAGGGTAGATTAGCCTTGCTAATTTTACAGTTACTAGTTCTATATCAGTTCCTCCTGACTGGCATCTTTAAAAGACAGAACAATCATAGTTATGACAATATTTTAGCGCTACTTACACGATAGGACCAAGAGTATTTCGTTCGTGAGCGTTCAATTTTTGACAACTTTCTGTCAATAATATCGAATTTCTTATCCAGTTGTTGAACAGCATCATATATAATCTATTATAGTAAAAGGCATTATTAGTTATTTCAAAAGAAAAGTAACATGTGAGAATCCTACTGAGCTAAATTTTAACTGCAAGACACAAGGAAAGTTCTCAAAGCTCCAGAAATAACTTCTTTCCTATCTGAGGCCTAGGTGTGGGCGACACAGAGTCCATCTCGCTGAGACAAGGAGCCCAGACCTGCCACTATCCTACTCAAACTCACAGGGACATTGGAAGGAGAAAGCAAATGCATCAGAGGCCTTCTACACCATCCCATTTATGATGTGGTCATTTCACACAAAGGAAGGTACTATTTCAGGAAAGAAACACTCAGATCTGCTTAAGGTCAAAGAGTGAACTTCCATGCAATGCCTTAAACAGTGAATTTTCTGCTCTGAAAAGAACATGGAATCAAATATAACAGATGTCACTTTTGGCTTCAACATATTTTATAATCATGCAGTTAACAAACTTACAAAACTAGTGAGTGCACAACTCCCACACATCCATCAAGTAAAAATGTAATAAAAATGTGAGGATTCTTAAAATACACAGAAATTTCAACCAAAAGGAAAATAAAAGGTCAGAAAGACTTCCTCATTCATCCATTCATTCAAATGAGCACTTATTGAGGGGCTACTACCAGTCAGATCTACTTTGCTGGGAACATAAACTTTAAAAAACAAAATAAAAAACTGCACCCCTGTCCTGGAGGAATGGCCATCTTTACTGGTAGAGAGAGCAGATGGTTTCAACAGAACAAGTATCTAAAAGTCTGGAACAGTGGCTCTCAAATTGTGGGCCATTGATCAGAACCATCACCTGCGAGCCTGCCAGACAGCAGCAATGCAGCTCCACCTAAGCCTACTGAATGGAGACCTGAGTGGGCTGGAATGTCAGCAAACCTCCAGGTGCTCCCAAAATGTACTCCAGTGGGAGAACTGTGGGCCTGCAGTGCTGAGACAAACAGTGCAGAGTTCTGCCACTTACTAGCCGTGTGACCTTGGTCAAGTCACATGACTTCCCTGTGCTTCGATTTCCTCATGCACAGACCTGGGATGAAAATATCTCCTGGGATCCTCCTGGTGACAGAACCTTACTATAGCCTCATGTTAATACTAACAGTAATGGGGCTGGGGATTTAGCTCAGCGGCATAAGCACCTGCCTTGCAAGCAGGTGGTCGTGAAGCAGGCGGTTGTGAGTTCGATCCCCGGTACCAATAAAAAGTTAAAAAAAAAATACTAACAGTAACAACACCGACACGACTGGCCCAACAGTCTCAGAGCTCTATTAGTATTATTGCTGTTATCGTCAACAGCGCCATGACACAGATAAGCACCAAAGGCTAAGCACACCCAGAAGTGCAGGACTGAAACCAATGTGGTAGTTAGGGAGGCTTCTCAGTGATGATATCGTCTGGGTTGAGAGGGAAAGGAGAGAAGGCATTCACCAGGCGAAAATGCATGGAAGGTCAGACAGGGCAGAAAAGAACAGTGTGTTCCCAACCACAGAGAGAAAATAGGAAGACAGATGTTCAGCTGGTGAGGAAAAACTCCCTGCTGCTTCAGCCACCTCTGCACATCTTCCCCTCAAGGCATGAGTGGTCCCAGTAAAGATCCCACTTCTTTTTTTTTATCCTTTTTTTAAAAAAAAACTTTTTTATACTTTTTTTTATTTTAAAGAGATTAAGACAAAAGAGAACAGAACAAAGCAGATCACAACAGAACAATGTAAGCAACACAGCACTTCACAACAAGACAACCGGTTATTAACAGTACCTACCATAACGTCTCTTTCTTTGAAATAGCTGAGCTTACTTCACATACAATAATATCAAATATAACGAAACAGTATAAAATCATTCAAGAGAATGAAACCATTACAGGGCATTCAGAACCAAATAACAGAAAATGAAAAATGGCTACTACATTATCTCATTTTCCATAAAAAATTGTTGATACTATCACACATATTAAATCCAGTAAGACACAACATGATAGAACCAATGGAAACAGAAGAACAAAAAACATGGTAGGATTTCAAAGCAAGATGATATTAAATCAGCAATGGCTGCCATAATGTCTTGTTTTCTTCAAAATAGCTGTTCATACCCACAACGTAATAAAATCAAACAAAACAGAATAAAACGATTCCAACTAATGAATGAAAACACAAGGCTTCAAGGCAACGTAATGGGGAATCATGATTACCATAAACTCTTATGTACTCTTATCATTTCTTACACTAGGGAGACTATATGGTATTTACACATGTCAGTTTGATTTATTTTGCTTATGAGTATGGTCTCAAGTTGCTTCCATTTATTTATAAATATCTCAATGTGATCATTCTTTATAGCTGAGTAGTACTCCAATGCATAAAAATACCACAAATTTTTTACATATTCCTCAGTTGATGGACACTTAGGTTATTTCCAAGATCTGGCTATTACAAATTGTGCTGCTATAAACATGGGTGCACATATATCACTGTGGTATGATGTGTTCAGTTCTTCTGGGAATATGCCTAGAAGTGGAATAGCTGGGTCAAATGGGACTTCCCACTTCTGTCTTCAATGGGAAAAAGGAGAAAGATGCATGCAGACTTCTACTTTTCAAAGTATGCCAGCTCATTCTATACAGGAAAATTTAGAGGTTAAGAAACACATTTTTATAAACTTGCATTACCTCTGGGGTATGTAGATCACAAAACCCTTGAATTATATACTTCTATCAATCTCTACCAACATGCTTATTTTTTACAAAATTCCACTTTTTAAAAGACAAGATCTCCCTATAGTAGTTCGGGCTAGCCTGGACTTATTATATAACCCAGGTTGGCCTGGAACTCAAGGTGATCCTCCTGCCTTACCCTCCCAGGTGCTGGGATTACAAGTGTATGCCACCACGCCCAGCTCCACAAAATATTGATGGGCTGCAATTTTGCTTCAGTGGAGATATCTTGTTCTGCATTTAAGCATATACTAAGTTCCATCCAAACAGCCAATATCCCTTAAAGATTTTGTAGGGGAAATTACTCAATGTGAAGCAATCTAGATGAGAGACATAACTACATTTGATCACTAGTTATTTTAAAAAGGCTCTAAAGTCCATATCTTGCTATTTCAAAAATTTCATCTGCAAATCCTATTCTAACTAGAAACTGTTAAAAAATAATCACAGTGGGGTGGTAACAGTAAATAATTCTACATTGCAAGATTTCTATAAATTGTTCACTTTCTCATTATATGAGATCAGGTGAATTTTCACTTTTACATTTCCAAAAAACACATTAAATAGACAGAATTTTCATACCTGACAATGGCCAATGATATCCAGAAATGGTCTTAGCCTCTCATCTGTTTGGGCTCTGTCATATTGAAACTGTTCCTGCTATAATATTTTAAAAGTAATTAATGATCTCACTTCTGTAAAAGACACACTGTGTACTAGGGAGAAAAACTGCTTTATACTTATCTGTTTAAATTTTTATTTTTCAGCAATCTTTCAAAAGTTTTAATATAAAGCAGAAATAAAATTTCACACTATTATGAGGATGGAAATAACAATTATCAATTAAGAAGAGAGGCAAGGTGGAGGCTGGAGATTTAGCTCAGCAGCATAAGTGCTTGCCTTGCAAGCAGGCAGTTGTGAGTTCGATCCCCAGTACCGACAAAAAGGAAAAAGACAAAAAAAAAAAGAGAGGCAAGGAAAGAACTGGCCTTTTAAAAGAATCTTACTTTAAATTTTCAGTACAAAACTGCTTTGAATTTCCTACTACAGAAGAAAACGGGAGAAATAAAACAGTTAAGAGCTCACTGTCTAATCAAGGAAGCATACAAATTCAACAGGAAGAAATACTTTATTAAGTATACAAAGAATTTAAACCCTTTTCTTGAAAATGGTAAAATTTTTAATAGCAAGTAATATTACTTACAGGATTCATATATGTGTTGTCCTCTGGAGAGGGATAAAGAATAGTGCTCTGTTCGGCAATATCAACATATTCATCCTCTCCATGACTGGGGCTTTGTGACCTTGCCTGAGGAACATTTATTAAGAAAAGGAAAGATAAAAGAACTAATAAAAAAGCTAAGGAGTTTAATTTCACTTTTAAGAAGCTCCAAAGGCCTATTTGTGAAGGACCTTTGCCCATTATAAGTACTATGACTACATAATGAGTGTACTTGCAAAACTGTGTTCTCATTAACCCTTCTACACATAAGACAACATTTTCCACTGAGCTTAACCCCTTATGTACTTAGGGTAGAAAGACTTATCTACATGAAAACTGTTTTAAAAGCAAACATTTCTAACCATGAACAAAAGAATGTTACATTGCTTTTGATTTTTAAACAATCCAACAGTGCCACTGTGTGGTCAAAATAGGAAATACTTAAACACTTATTTTTTCTTGATAAATTAATTTCTAAATCACCTTAAAGCATTTTTGGGAAGGGATATAAATAACCATTAAATTTCAAATTAATAAGTTTGGTTTTTTGAACTAATTATGAATTCTAAGAATAATTTTCAGATTAAACAGATTTCAATTGCTTCTGGATCTTTTGACTAAGATTGAGTGAAAATAAAATCATTTGGTGGCTATGTATGCTTCTGTTTCAAAGTACACAAAAGAAATTACTTGGCTTTGAGCTATGCATTATTACTTATTTTAAAATACCATCTTATTCTTGTATAGGGACTTTGCTTTTCAAAGTGTTTTCACATAATTATGTCAAAACTGACTTTTGGTAGGTAGTTAAATTATCTCTAAAAATGAGAAACATTAGGTGGTACAAAGACTAAATGTTTCGCGTTTGAGCCACATTTGTATAGTTTAGTAATCTATATTTTGGTTTGCAGCCAGTAGAAACACATCAGTATGTAACAGAAATGCAAAAATAGCACAGTCACTTTGAAAAACTATTTGGGAGATTCCCATGAAATTAAATTTACATCAACTCTATGATCTAACAATTCAACTTCAATTTACTCTAAAGAAATGCTGTGTTCACAAAGACACTTGTACCCTGATGTTCACAGAAGTTTTATAACATTGTCAAAACTCATAACAAAATTTCACTTATGATCTATGTATGCATTTAACTATGTAATTACTAAATTTAGAAAAGAACTATATAAAATTATGAAAAGAACATAGACATTTTCTACTTAATATACAAACCACATTAACCTCACTGGCGCTGGTACACATTGTGTACTTCCTCTGAGTTGAGCCTAATTATTTGTGAAACTGCTTAGTCACCTAAGAGTGGCAAACCTTCTACTCCTGAAAAGCAATACATAAAAAAGTTACTTAATATACTTACTACCTAAGTAACCTTAATATGGATATTTCAGAAAGACATCTCAAGTCAAATTGGAGTTTAGAGAGTGACAAAATAATCTTTTCATTAGCAGTTTATTTCTTGAGGGGCTGGGTACCAGGGATCACACCCAAACATGTCCTTAGTTGGTCAATCAAGCAACCTGTATACCACTGAGCTACAATCTCAGCTCCTCCATGGGCAATTTGGAATCCTTTTTAAATTTTTTTCCCATACTTGGAATCAAATCAAGAGTTTTGCAAGTGCTACAAGAGCTCTACCATGGAGTTACATTTTGCAGCACTAGATCATGACTTTAAAAACTGAAAGGCCACACTGCTAATGACTAGAATTAAAAATCAAAGTTAAATACAATCCCAAACTGTGAACTGAACGCTTTATAACTTAAAATCTACTGAGTATATATATATATATATATATATATATATATATATGCTGGAAACAACTGATCAAGAAACGTGATTGCTAACCACTTCTATAAAGGAACTCAAAAAAGTGCTTTTCACTCAAGCAGTGCCTCCAAAAGTTACACCAGTGGTCTGTGCTAGACTGGGCCCTCTCGAAGCATGAAACAGAAAACCTGGGAGACATTGCCTCTGCACCTGGGGTGCAAACACACTGAGTGTAGCTCCCCACTTCATTTCAATTGCCTTACTAGTTAGACTTTTGGTTAAATCTAGATAAATTGATGTGAAATATAAGCCTGAAATTTGAGAATTCTAAAGGTTCAGATGTGCCTCAGAGTCACATAACTATGGAGCAAACGAGAACAAGACACGGACTACAACACCACCATATTCTATCTGTTACTTCAGATCTGATTTTAACAGCTCTGTCACGGGTACTGGAGGGATACCTTAGTTACATTCACTTTATCCATCCTGACCCACAGCAGCAATGAGAGGCACAACTAAGAGATTCAAGTTTCATCTCTTTCCTGCTTCCCAGACCAATGTATAAAAATTTCAAGTTACAAAACACTTTCAATTTGAGTTTTAATTTCCACCAAATTGTACTTTTTAAAACTATGTTTTTATTCTGACTCTAACATAAGCAACAAGCAGACTGTGATGTACTCACATAAGTGAAGACTAACCGCAATGAGAATAAGCCAACTACTGTTGCCCCCAGCAAGAATTAACCTCACAAGCACAACCTTGAGTTAAAGAAGTCCATGCAAATAAGAGAACAGCAGACAATTCAATTCATATAAAGGTCGAAACTAGGCAAAGCATGCAGGAGAAGTTTTTCCAAACCACCACCTTTAAATACACTATAGTCACTTTAACAAATATTTAGTACTCTACCTTGTAAATACTCTCATGATTTATTTAAATTATGAATATTCAAGTTACTCTAAAGTTTTGCTCTTTTAAAGAACGCTGAAAAACAAGCTTGCACTGCTGCAAGATGTTTTATGGAAAAGATTCCTAGAAGTACAAATATTGGATCAATAAATTAGAAACAAAAGTGTTGTTGTATTGAAAGTACTTTCAAAAGTATTTGAAAGTTTTCCCCTAGCTATGCCAAGCTAAAGAGGGCTGCTGGAGTTAGTCCACAACACACTAAGTATTCTGCTGATTATGCACACAGGTTGAAACCAGAACAAACAATAGATAGTATCCAATGACTTTTTTTTCTGTACTGGGGATTGAACTCTCGGACTTGCCCTTGCCAAGCAGGTGCTTACACCGCTAGCTCAATCGCTGTCCCAAATGGCTTTTTGGATCAGACGATTAAATTACTTTTCTCTTTTGACTTACTGTTGTAACATACTAATACCTTTCTTGACATTCTTAGGGTGAGATATCCAGCCAGTTAGATAGCAAAGGCTTTCAATTGGTGGGTATTTTATTTAGAAACTGGTTGCATCTCTACGATCTTATACTGGTACATTTCTCACAATCAATGAATGAGCGAATATTGGTGTGTTTTTATAAACTCTTGGTATCAAGACTGCTCTGGAAAATTAATTGGGAAGTCTTCCATCTCTTTTTACAAAAGTTTCTTTCTGAAAAAGTTTACATCATGCCAGAATTTCTGTGTCTTAAAGGTTTGAACGAATGTTAGAAAAAAAAAAAAACCATACGGGCACAGATTTTATAACATTTTCTAAGTTATTCCATGTTTACTGTTCTATTCAAATTATTCTTTTTCTTGAATTGTTTTGACAAATTACTTTTACCTGGAAGGACAGTAATTTCATCACTATTACAGATTTGCTAACAAAATCAGTTTAAAAATCATTACCTCTAACTTAATTTGGATTCTATTTTTTTCTTGATTAGATATTCTATCTCACTAATTTACTGACAGCTTTGTGAAGTAGTTTCTGTTATCTCCATTTTCCTTATAAGAAAACTGAGGCAAAGAATACTTACGTAATTCACCTAAGTCTCATAACTAGGCAGTGTTGCAATGATCTTTGATCTTCTTTGCTCTATTTTTAAAATCACTGGGGAGCCCTTCGATAACAATTACACAATAAACTCCAGACTCCTACCATGGCTTGCAAAGTCCTTAAGGACTCTGCCCATCCCTCATAGGTCACCTCTTACCACTTGGCTCTTTACTCATAACCCAAAATATTTACTATCTGTCATGTTGCAGACAAAGTGTGGCTATGACCACCATAAATTTATAGGCAGACAATTCCTGATTTGGATTAATTACAGTGCTGCCAATACTCAGTCACAGATAAACACAGGAGCAGTGTGCATTAAGCCTGCCATTGTGCTTCTAACAGTTTTATCTTTATGACACATTTACAAATCAACACTGATCTTGTATTCTGAGATTCTGGCTCCTGTCATATCCTGAGCACTCTCTCCATCTAGGAGAATCTATTTAACTTCAAGATTTAATTCAAGTTCTACCTCCAAAAAGCAAAGGTACCATGTCAACAATCACCCTATTTAGATGGGACACTGCCTTCCCCACGAGAACACTTATACTTTAATATTCTCAAGGCAACTATTGTACATGTCTAGTTTCGTAAGAGGCCGGATCAAACAGCAGTAAGCCTTTAGTTTTGTAATCAGAATATCTGGGTTTGGATCTCACCTCCTGCATTTACTATGTCACTTTAGACAACTTAATAATTTTGTTTCCATTTTTAAGAGTCTGTACAATAGAGATAAAAACAATGTAAACCTCATAGGGTTATTAAGACAAAACAAACAAATGTTTAAAACAATGCCTGGCAGAGACAGCAAGTGGCCCCACTGTATAGGCCAACTACTATTTTAGTGTTCACCATATCTACACTACAGAACCACTAGTTTTTAAACCACATATGCAAAAAATTTTCAGTCACAATATGTTTGCAATGTGCACCGCATAAATAGGATCTGTACACTGCAGATATAGCAATTCTTTCTTGTAAAGTGCAAGATGCTGCGCTTTAGTGAGAAATGCTTGAATCCAAATTCAAATTGCAGTGTTTGCTATTTTACATTAGGCAGGCATTTAACCTTTCTGTTCCTCAATATTTTAAACCTGAAAAACAGGAATATTGTCTACCTCCACTGATCTCTGTAAAACTAAATGACAGTTAAGCACTCAGCATCATGTATGGTTAATGTCAAGCACATCATAAACCAGTTCATTTTCACCTGTTTCCATAAGGTACAAGATTATTGCTTTTAAAACATTATCTTAGAGCTCAACATGACTAGATCACATAAAATGCGTTACAATCTTTAAATCCAAAAGCCCATCAAAATGGGTTTACTTAAAACAAACTCAAATTTTACGAGAGAAATCCAAACTTTTGACAACGGAAGAAAATAAGTCATCCGATTTTTTTAAAGACTTTTTTTTTGGGGGGGGGGTGTTTACCGGGCATCAAACTCACTACCTTGCCAGGCAGACACTTATGCCACTCAGCTAAATCCCCGGCTTAAAGGCCATTTTTAAAAAGACATGAAAAACATTTGCCATCAATTTATCCAACCAAAGACAGTTCACAAAAAGGGCTGAAAACACGGCGATATCCTCGGACCTCTACGAAAAAAATACAAGGCAAATTATGACTACCCCTAAATGACTCCAATTCATAAAGAAACAAAACGGCGGATAACACAAAAGCCAATCACTTTCTCAATCCTCTGTCAAGACTTTGGCCCATCCAACTCCAGAGACCAGTAGAGTCCGCCAAAGGCCGGAATAAAGCAGCGAAATCCCAGCCCAGCCCGGGCACAGAGCTGCTGCACAGTTAGAAGGGCTGGCGGCGGGCACCAACGCCTTCGCCGCCTTACAGGGTCCCAACATCTTTCACTTTTACTCGCCTCCAGCGGCTCCCGACACGTGGCAACGTCTCCACAACACCCTACATCTTTCTTTACTTTTTTCTTCCACGGTATATTTACACTAAAAGGGTGAGGCTATACAATCTTTGACCAAACGCGGTCACCATCACAGCCCTCAAATCCACCTTTCCAATCTCAAGAGACGCTGTGGCAGTCAACTCGCGAACCTGCGACATCTTTAAGTCTGAGAGTTGGGGTCCCGCCTCATCCCCACTCGCCTCCGTCACGCAGGGCAAAGGATGGAAAACCATCCCCTCCCGCCCCGGGAGTCCGCGCCAAGCCCTTCTCGGGGCTGCGGTCCTCAGCCTCTGCGCTCCCGCACACCCCAGACTGAAAAGTTCAAGAAGTGGAAAAAATAACTTACTTTTTCTGGTCCTCGGCCTCTCGCTGCAGCCTCCACAAGATGCAGAAGAAGCTGGCAAGGGCCGGCTGCTGGGTGTGGCCGTTAAAAGTCACGAGGACCCTTACAACGGTCTTTTTGCCGGAAACCACGTCTGGTTTCGCGACACGTGAATGTCGCGAGCCTAGACGGCGCGCGGACCGGGGACTGGCGGGGCTTTCGCTAGTCCTCTCGCTGCAGGGCAGGGGGGCGGGGACAACCTTGGCGACCAATCAGCGGCTGCCTATGGACTCTGATTCCCCCCCCCCCAGTTAGTCCAGTCAATCTGGTGGATCCTTAAGCAGGGGAGCGTTGCTAAGGAGACAGCGGAGGGGAGGGGGCTTGTCACCCGCCCTGAGGCAGAGATGCCAGTCGCCTTACTGTTATAGCTGGGCATCAAATCTCGGATTTCTGCTACCTGACACCTGCCAAGTCGGAATGCGGCTGTAGGAGAGAGGAGTGCGCAGTGCGAACCCCTGGTATTGATAACTCATCCTGGCTGCAGCTGTTCTAGGGGGACACCTAGCAAGGGTGAGGCAACTGGGCGCGTGATCTCCCATTTTCACTGTTTGCTCATTTGAAGCTTACTGGCCTTTACACCTCCCCCCCCATGGCTGAGATGTCCATGTTGACTGGGTTCTAGGGGTGCAGTCAGTGCTTAAATTTGAATGTACAGAGGTGCCTGGCTTTAGTAGTTGCCTGTTTGGTGTGGTAAAAACCCGAGGAAAATGACTTCCAGTCTTCAACAAGCACAAATTGGAGTAGAGAACTGACACAGATCCTGGAGCCACGCTTGCTGGTTTTGAACCCCAGGGCCATCATTTAATTGCTGTATGGATTTGGGCAAGCCAAGTAACCAACCTGTGCGGTTTGCCTATCTGTGAAATGGACACAATAGCGAGAATACATGAGACAGCATAGGAAAACACTTAGAACTAGTGCAGAAGTCTGCTTTACATAAGGTGACTTTACAGGCCGTGTGACATATTGTTTTACATATATCAAAGGATGCTCATTTTGAGGAGCAGGCACGGTCTGAACACTTACCAAAGTCAAAGCAGACAGATATTTCAAAGTAAAACCATCAATCTTTTCCTGGCCTAGAAAGATTTACAGTGAAAGTAGCTTCTATGTTGGAATGAGTTTTTCTCTGACAAATACAAAACGTGGTTGGTGCCCATTCTAGATACTATATTTTTTGTTCCAATTTTTGCTGTAAAAAAATCCTCCTTCGCATCCAGTTTCCTATGAAACACTTTGTGGTTGGGTGGGGTGGCATATGCCTATCATCCTAGCACTCAAAAGGCTGAGGCAGGAGGAATGCCACAAGTCTGAGGCCAGCCTAGGCCATCTTGTGAGTTCCAGACCAGCCTAGACTATACAGCAAGACCTTGTCTCAAAAAAAAAAAAAAAAAAAAAATCAAAAAACAAACAAAACAGCAACAAAATCTTTGTAAAACCCCATGAATACAATTACATAACATGAGGGAAAAACCAGTTGTTTAATTGCAGTCACGTTTATTTGCAGTTTCTATACACACTTTCTAGGTAATCAAACTTTTCTGGTACATTTTTTGAGAGGGGTTCACAATGAAACTGTCACCGTTTTTACTAAAAATAAATACAAGACTTAAAGTGTTGCACAGCTCTAAAATATACAAAGGCTTGGATTGAATGTAAACGTTGAAAACATCTTACAAAAGAAACCATCTTTGCAACAATTTAAAAAGTTCGTATTTACAAATATTACAAAAATACAAAATGGATGCAAGTCCCTAAACCATTGTCTTTTCGGCCAGCATGAACTGGTTCTAGTACCAAAATAGTTACACTGTAACCTTCTTGATAGTTTTAAATCTTTGTCACGATCTAATTCTCTAAGTGCCACCACTGCAGCAGACTTACTCACTCACTGACCTTTGGCAAGAGCAAACAGCATGTTTTGTTCGCTACTACTAGTCCATGTCCTCTACTTAGCCAAAACCAAAAGAACAAAAATCAAAGCCGATATAAAAAAAGGAAACATTTTCACTCACACAACGTAACATGTTGTATAAACATAAAAGAACAAAAAAATTAGCATCAGTGCAAACAACACAAGAAAAGTTTGGATTGGTGTTCTTTACAATACCTAATGTGTGTACTCTGCTTCAAGCCAGCAGCGATGTTAAAGACAGCTCTAAATCTTGGTCTTCTTTGTTATGTAATAAAGCCATACAGAATATTCCAAATTATTAAGGAATTGCTTTCCTTTTTTTACTAAAGTTTGCTACTCAATATTATTCCACAGTTAATTTAAATCCATCTTTACTTGGGTTTTTTTTCTTTTTAAATCTATGAAATAATAAAATAGAGAAACTCTGCTATAGATTTTTAGAGTAAACAAAATAAGTAAAACTATATTATAAGGGTTAATTCTGTGATCATTACTTATAGAAGGTATCTTATTGCCTCAAAATTCAAGTCAATATGTATTTTAAAATATATATGGTAATATTACTTAAATTAATGTCAATAATAAAAAGGTGACATTTTTATTAAAGCCAATTCATGTGTTTTCTATTCAAGATTTAGAATTACTTTTAAAGCCCACATACCTTTCTCCACGCTTAAAAAACCCCTAACTACACAAAAGCCATACTGCAAACGAACTGCTTTTATGAAAATTACAAAAGATCACTTATTGTGACTGGAAATGATGGTTTATTATCACATTTGTCTAAAATCTTTAGTTTTAAAATTTTGCCACATGTATTTTTCAAAGCATGAGACAGATTTGTTCCCGTTCCCATGTGGTGCCAAACCATGCTGGTTTTCTTAATTAATGTGTTCCAATAAGAAATTATGGTTGATTTTTTTCAAACCCCAAATGATTTTTCTTTTAATAAAAAGTGTAACACTTTGTAAATGTTCAAACCCTTTACCAGTAGCTTATCTATCCCCAACACACGTGCACACACACATTCACACACTCTCTCCCTTTTTCTCTCTTCCCCCATCTTAATCTCTTCCTCTACCCCTCCACCCCCAGCACCCATTTTACAGACGACAATGACAAGAAAATAAGTAACGCAATTTGGTAGTAAAAACAAATCATAGAAGCCAGACTTTTTTTTTTCTTTCCAAACAAACAAAACACCAACAGCAATCAGATTCTCTAATTCTTAATGTATAACATCTTAGAAAGCATTTCTATTAAAAGACGGTATCTTCTTAGACTAGGCTTTCTCGTTCATTTTGCACAAGTAAACTCCAAACTGCAAACCCTCTTTCACACATCCTGCTTTCCCAAATACCACTTGCATAGGCTTTAAGCCAGCTGCTTATCAATTTCTTGGTAACCCTGGTATGTTCTATCATTCTAATTACATTCTAGTCTTTTATAGGTTATATCCCTTCTGAGTTCTCTCTATTTTTCTACCTCTCCCATTCGAAACCTATTCTAAGTACACAGCTGCTTATATTTCTGACATATGATCCCGAACATTAGTATCAGTTCATGTTAAAATCAGAGGTGTAAAAACCACTTGCAGATTTCAACTCATTTGTTTCAGTTTTAAGACAAGAAAATTCAAGTAATTTCAAGTAATTCAGCTTGTTTCCCTGCCTTCATTTTATCAGAGCATTTGCCCTGACATTTCCTTGCCCACCCACCACCCCCCTCTTTGCCATCAAGCAGATATAGTAAAACCAGACAAAAACTCAGTTGTATGTAGCATTGTGAACCAGAGCTGTTCCCCATTCCCAGTTTAATGGTGAATATAAATAATGCATATACACATACCTATTCCCCAAATACATTGTTCACAGTGTCATTTCTGTTAGTTTTTAGGTAGCATGAATCTCATCAGCACAGAGAGAAAGCTTCACTGAAATACTTACTGATAAATCAATAGCTCTGTGGCATGCTTAGGTTTAATTTTTGTTAGTTTAAGAACCTGGAGCTAATTGCTAAACTGTTCCAGGAGTTTAAAGAGTATAGTCATTAGATTATGACTGTTTATGTACCCAGTAGCCTAATATAAAACATAACCTAAAATTAACTACGGATTTCCCTACCCATTCTCTTTAAAGCAATCCAATGAAAAAATTAAAAACTAAAGGACACTGTCAAATGCTGTTTTTCAGGGCTTTGTGTTGAGAACGATAACTTCTCTTGATTAAAAAAAAAATCAAAAGCATGCTTTTCATTCTGTCCAAATTACCATATTGGCAAATCACAGCGATGAGTTGCTGTTACTTTTTGTTTATGCTGTAATTTGTCACAAAAATAATTAGGTTTAAATTCATTATTTTAAAATTAATCATATTTCTGTATGTGACCTCAAGATTTCCTTTATTTCAGCAGTTTTAAATTCATATTTGAGGTTTATCACTTAGAAATATTGGTGGACATTTACATACGGTATTTCATAGGAAAATGGTATTCACAGAATACAACCATTACACTTTATTTTTGTGTTCTATAAACAGTTGGTGTGCAGTAGATAATTGGCCACATGTCCACTCATCATTGATAAATCTATTTACACACTTTTATCAAAAATATGGTATTTACATATGTGTAATTCTTTCTTCTAACTTTTGCTTTAGTTCATTTTAATGTAAAAAAATACCAAACCTCCAGAGTAATTTCATCTTGTTAAATAATCATGACAGTGAGGGTTTTAGTTTCTGAATAGGCAGCTCTGGGAAAACCTTGTGTAGGTTTCACGAAAATTAGATATTTTTGTATCCACTAAGGGAATGAGATTGGGTAACTCAAACTAAGCTTAAGAAAACCATGGGAGAAGGTACAGTTACTTAAAACACGGAAACTAATCAAGAATGATTAAACCACCTTCTGTTTCCCCAGCATATATTTAGAATTCATTGCTAAACAGTGATGCTACCCCCATTTTGTTGCGATTTCTCTTGAGTCCCCTGCGGCGTTCCTACATCCTCTCCTAACTAAGGGTTTGGGCGTTTGGCGACAGCTCGGAACAGGCAGTCTATGTGGAGCTCTGGGAGGAGCGGTCGTCGTGCGGGCTTCCATCCGAGTTTTCGGTCTCACCCTCGGAGATTGCCTGCATGGGCGTATTGTACAGCCGGCACCGGACGCTGTAGCGGCTGCTGCTGGCTGCAGGGGGCGCCCGCGAACGTCCAACCCTTGCTGATGCTGAGGTGGCAAAGTTCTTGGAGGAAAACCCTTCTGAATTGACTCGTGGGGAGCACGGAGAGAGTGGAGACAATGCCTCGGCCCCAGGTGACACCTGATGGACATCATCAGGGCTTTGCGGGGACTCCCCGGTAAACTCCCCAGGGGGTTTGGGCAGGATGGGACTCTTCAGGATCTCAGTGGCAGACATGCGGTAACTGGAATCAGAGCGACTGCCTTTCTTGAGGAGCAGCAGTTTAAACTCTTCGTTGGAAGTGTTGGACTTCTTGGCATTCCGGTAGATGAGACCAGGAGACCTCTGGCTATTTGCGGTTGTCACACTGCTGCTGGATGAAGTCACAGAATTGGAGCTGCTGCTACTGCTGCCAAGGGGAGCTCTAGATTTGCTTCGAACAGACATGTCCCCAGAATCTTTTCTTCCAAGTACTTTCCTCTTGGATCTTTTTAAGAAAAGAAAAAATGGGGCAAAAATGTGAGTTCATGTACATTTTTATGGAATGGAAATTGTTTGGTCTCATTCATGCATCTATTTAAGGAGCATTTTAAGTTCATCTTGTATGATAGGATACTAAACATAGAGATGAAGCCTAAGTACTTTACTTGCCCTTGTGGCGCTCATAGGCTAAGGGAGATTCTCTGACAACCAAGAGGCATCAGTTAGGTTCTGGAGATGACCTTTTCAGATACTAAATAACGTAATGGCTACAGGTTCTGGAAGAGGACTTACTAGGATGTTTTGCAAGAGTTTAAGAAAATACTGCTATACTTCTGGTTACAATGGGGTAAGGGCTGTGGATTTTTCTTATAAAATCTATCTTTTCAATGCTGTTGAAATGTCCAGGATTGGGTTTCAAATAATACCAAACAGACCAAGTACATAGTTGGAGGGGTGGATGGCACATGATTGGCTCTAGTTTGATAGCTGATAACTTGGGTAATGGTTATACCTATAGGAACACGTTAGACTATTCTGCCTACTTTTAAAATTTCCTCCATATAAAATTTTATTTTATTTATTTTGGTACTGGGGATCGAACTCGTGACCTCGCACTCACCAGGCAGGCGCTTGTGCCACTGAGCTAAATCCCTGCCCTTATATAAAATTGTAAAGGATTTTTTAAATAAATCCATCTCTGGCTGCAAATACCATTTCCTGTTGCTGTCTAAGGACTATCAGTAATATAGTGTACTATATAGTAAACCAACTCTCTGTGAGGAACTGAAAATCTAGACCATCTCTGGAGTTCTTAAAGCTTTGTGTACATAAACCCTTAAGAAAGCAAAATAACTCTCACCACTGTGATATAAAAAAGTAAATAAACCCTATACAAATGCAAGCCTAAGATTACCTAACTCAGTAAGTCTATGGAACCATGACACCCATTGTCATATTACTGGCTTCTCTTTTTCTTTCTTTTCTTTTCTTTCTTTCTTTCTTTCTTTCTTTCTTTCTTTCTTTCTTTCTTTCTTTCTTTCTTTCTTTCTTTCTTTCCCTCTTTCTCTCTTTTTATCTGTGTTACTGAGGGTTAAACACAGATCCTTCACAATGAGCTGCATCCCCAGCCTCTTCCCCCTTCTTATTTTGAGAGAGCCTTGCTAAGATGATCAGGCTGGGCTAGAAATTATGATCTTCCTATTTTAACTTTTCAGAGTTCTGGGATTATAAGCATATGCCACCACATTCATCTAATGGATTTTCTTTGTTAAGTAAGAAAGTATAAAAATGAATTTTCAGCATAACTCACTTTATTGGTGAGTGCTGGCAACATGCTCTCTCTTCAACTTAAAATAGGCAGATTGGGTGTGGCGGTGCATGCCTATAAATCTAGCACTTTGGGAGGCTGAGGTAGGAGGATTTCAAATTTAATTCTCACCTGGGCAATTTAGTGAGATACTGTCTCAAAAACTAAAAAGGGCTGGGGACATACTTCAGTGTGAAGGTCGTGAGTCAATCCCCAGTACTTCAAAAAACAAGACTCATACATAAAATCTGTAATGTAAAAGAACATGGAGCTTTGCAGTTGGAGGTCAGCTTGATTTAGGTTGACTGAAACCTCTGTAGTTGACATCTTGCATACTGCAGTGTCTGGCCCTCCAAAAAGATAGGGTTTCTGATTTAACATTTACTTTTAACATCTATCACACTCCAGGCATGAAAATGTTATTTTGTCATTAAATCCAAATATGTAAGCAACAAGTGTTCCCATTTACAGCAAGAAGATGAGTTCAGAGGTTTAACTTATTCATGTACAAAAACTAGCAGAGTTGAGATTCTAATCCAGGTCTTTTGTTGCCACTACTAGGTCCTGACTTATTATTTTGGACACAGATATGGTTCTTTGGAGAGTAAGTACGTGGCTCTTTAACTTATGTAACAGATTAGAAATTCATCCTGGAGCTGATGATAAAGTATATGGGTGGAAGAATCTAATTAGAACTTAGACAGAGATTGCAGTGGAGAAAAGAAACTAACAATTCTTCATTTGCTAAGTGGAGAAGTGTGCCTGCTAAGGTACACTCAGAAAGTGTTTCTAATTGAACTCTGTAAAAATGAGTTGTTGAAAAGCAGTACTACTTCTTCAAGACAGAATTGCATCAATTGCAAATGGAAACTTCTTTCAAAAGTAGAATATAATATCAGAAAAAGATTATAAATTGCTTGCAAAGAATTTGCTTTGAAAAGATATATTTATGAGGTTGAAAAAGATAATCCCCAAGTTTTGTCTCTTTGGAGTTCCATCTAGGTCACAAGACCTAATGTAAAAAGGCAGTCAGGTCTCCTATTATTTTGTTATGAAATTTAGCTTTATCTTTTTTCCATAAAATGAAAAATAAAAAATGTTAAAAGGCAGTTGTCTATATAAAAGGAGTAGGTACATATAACTGGCTAGTTCTATTGGATATGAGTTTGCTTTCCAAGGACTACTCCTACTCCAGTGGTGGCAAACCTATGGTACTCATGCCATATCGGGTGGCTTGCTATCATTAAATTTTTTTTTCGTCTTTTTCCTTTTTATCAGTACCGGGGATCGAACTCATGACTGCCTGCTTGCAAGGCAGGCCCTTATGCCGGAGCTAAATCCCCAGCCCCCTATCATCAAATTTCTAGAAGGTTCACCATCACTGTCCAACTCAGTTTGCTGGTCACCAGCTGTAATGAATTTGCAGTTCTTGCAAATAATGCACACTGATCACAATAGCACAGTGGGCAAAATGAGAAGGTGTGCATGGGTAGCATGGCACAGTCCTTTCCTGGGAAAGAGACACAGAGGACTCTCCATGGCTTATGGGCATTAACAATGGAGATGAAGGTAGTACTGTAAAAGAAATTTAGGTTTTAAGAAGAGAGAAAAAAGGGCCAATTATTAATTTTTCCAAGCTACTAAATGGGTGTGTGTGTGTGTGTATATACATATACATATATACATATATATATATATATATATATATATATATATATATATATATAATCATTTCTCAAACTTAGGATCCTGATTATTTTGGCGAATCAACTTATGTTTGTCTTTGCTAGTGTATGACTATACCTTTAAGCATATGTTTTAAGTTCAAGAAATTATTTAAAAGTTAAAGAACTGCCAGTGTAGTTAGTGGAGGATCATTTGGCTGGCATATGTGAAAATCTGAGTTTGGTTTCCAACACGAAAAGAAGAGGAGAGGAGAGGAGAGGACAGGGGAGAGGAGAGGAGAGGAGAGAGGAGAGGAGAGGAGAGGAGAGGAGAGGAGAGGAGAGGAGAGGAGAAGAGAAGAGAAGAGAAGAGAAGAGAAGAGAAGAGAAGAGAAGAAAGGAGTAGAAAAGGAAGGAAAAAAAGAGCAGGAGGGAAACATATAAGTCAGAGATTAGTTTGAGCTTTCACTGCAAGTCACTTGAGTACAAATTGTTTTCATATACAAACTTGTTCTAGAATGTCTGTCCTAGTGAAAATTCCAACAACTGCCACTCAGTAGTTCTTATGAATGTCTCATTTGAGTTCTAACTATGTATAAAGGCCCATATTGCCCAACTTTCATATGTGTCTTCCAATCTGATTTGGAAAAGATATTCTTCCTTGCCTGCTTTTGGTTTTGCTGACAGTACTACACATACAAAAAAAAAAAAAAATCCTGTATTTTCATGTGGTAAGAAGCACTTTAAGAAGTAAAATATTTTCTATGTCTTTGTTTTGGCACACTTGGAAAAACTGCCTCACCTATGAATGACGGCAAATAGATCTTCAGTTGTTCGAGGTTTGTTTGGAGACAGGAACACACCCTCTGCTTCAGCTTGAGAGTCTTCACTAAGTGGTGAAACGACTGAGTCGTCACTTGGTGATGATTCTTAAAATAAGAAAAGAAGCATCTTTAAGTGGAAGTTCTGCAGCATATTATTATGTTTCCCTAATGTGGTGATCAAACAAACAAGATTTACTTACTGGCGTTTTTTCCCTTCTTTTTTTGAGACAGGGTCTCACTGTGTAGTTCAGCCTGGCCTTGAACTCACTATATAACCCAGGCTGACTTCAACCTTGCAGAGTCCCTCCTGCCTCTGTCTCTGGAGTGCTGGGATTCCAGGCCAGGCATGCATTACCATACCAGGCTACTTAGTGATATTTTTAAAAGGAGAGATATATGTCAAATCTTAGTCCCTCAATAACAAAAGGTTTCTTTCCTTATTTCAATTGTTGAGATAAATGAAAAGAAATAGTGGAGAGAAAACCAACACTCAGGCTACACAGTATTATGCAAAATGTGAAAAAGAAACTTCAGGAAATATCAAAAGACACATCTTTGCGTAACAAAGTGACAAAGGTATCAATGACTGACCTTTCAGTGACACCTCCTCCACACTTCCTTGGCTCTCGTCTGCCCTGCCATTATCAGAGGCACTTTTGGGTGAAATACCTGAAGCATTATTTTGTTGCTCAGAACACTTGTCAAGGAGTGAATTTGTAGTTGATAGCTCTGATTCATAGCGAATATTCCCAGGCACTTTGTCGTGGTGGCGGCTCATAACAAGCTGATGTTTAAGTTGGTTGTTTATGTCCGTTGTTGTAGCTGGTGAGTTGGACTGAGGTGTGATTCCATCCACAGGTTCTGGCTGTGGAACTTCCTCTTGATCCACCGAGGATGCCTTCTGTACCTGCTCTGGGGCTCCATCTGGACCAGCTCCGTACTGCATTATTTTACCATCTAAATCATTTGGGTGGGTAGCAGATGCCCTCTGAAATCCTTCTGTGAAAACCCCACAATTTTTACTTGCTGTATTTTCTGGAATAGGCTCACTCCCCATCTGTATTTGGTCTTTTAGGACATTTGAATCTAAAAGATTGCTACCAGTTGAGGTTCCCATTTCTGGATTGCAGTGATTCTTCACATCCAGAGTCAAGGTCTTTTCCAAATGTAACTTCTCTTGTCCCATCTCAACTGCAGAGGAGTCTATAAAGGACAGTATAGGGTCTTCAGCAGAGAACTGGCGTGTTATTGATTTCTTTGCTGTATGTGGCCTAATCTTACCAGGAGACAAGGCAGCCATTGTGAAAGCACTTTCCTCTAAGTAGGGTAGATCTGTGCCATTGCCGTCTTTTTGGTTAGCTTCTTCAGCCTTACCGATGGACCTAAGATTAACTGATTTTAGTACTGTTGGAGTAATCGCAAGAGATGGTGGCGGATTGGACCTCAGCGTTTCTCCTACTGCGTTTTGCTTATTGTGGGTAAAAACATGCAATGGATGACGGTGGTGGAATGGTTTATTCAAGACATTATGAAGAGCACTTAGGTCAAGATGAGTGGGAGGTATAATAGGAAGTTCAAGATCTTTACTCAGTGAGAGGGTTCCATCTTTTAAACAGGGTTGCTGTAGAGAGGATTTCCTTTCCGGGACTTTAGGTTTTCTTTTGCTACCACCAGGAGACAAAGGACCTGAAAAGAAAGCTGTAGGGAAAGAGGATGTTGGTGTTTCAGACTGGCTTGAGTAGCCACTTGATGGAGATGCCAGGCCAGCCAGCTTCTCTGGTGAAGCCAGTTTAAACTCATTGTCAACAGAAGGAAGAGATGGAGTGGTGGCTCTTGATTCTGACTGTGAGGTTTGGGATTCAGAGCTCTCTGGAGATTTGATGCATTCAATAACTGTGGTACCCGTAGCAGTGCTTGAATTAGATAGGGATCTGTAAGGATCACTTGTTTTCAAGTCATTTAGAAGCCAGAGGTCTGCATAGTGAGTTGATTCAGCACCTTCATCTTTGAATGGTGGAATGTCTGGAGTATCTAATTGAGGTTCTTTAATACCATGTTCACTCTGGTTTATCCAAGATGATTCCTGCTTGGGGGTGATATTGGCATTTTCCATTCGAGAAGGCGTGTTGGAGAAATCAAGAGGCAGCTTCATTTCCCTGGAACTGTGAGGCAGGTGTTGGCCACTGCTTATCTTTGGTTCTTTCACCTCAGTAACATCTGCATTTCCATCAGACTTCCTCAAGGATGAGCTACGTTTAGGTGGGGTTGGCTTTGCCTTTGGTTTCCTAAAAGAGATGCTTGGTCTCCCTGGCCTCCTTTGGTCTAAGAAGTCCTGCCAGGTACAGTCCGGAAGACCAGGAGGAACGCCAACACCCTGGCCATTCTCTTGGCCCAGGCCTGCATAGTGACAGACATAGCTCTTGTTACCTTTAAGACCACAGTCAAAGTGCATGGACGTATAGTATCCTTCCGTGTCTACTGAAAAGTGAGAGCTAGTATCTGCTTTGTCTGATGGGGATTTTTCCAGAAAGCTGTCATAAGTGGCCATGCTTGTGAAGCTTGGGCAGCCAAGGCTATCTGCCTTGGGACGCTCAGGACTGAAATCTTGGCGACAAGACGCATCATGATGGTGGTGTAGGTAATTCCACTCGCTGTCACTTGTGTTGCTGATGCTGGGGTCATCTAGCAGATCTGCAACAGTGGAGGTAAAGGAGTTTGTCCGGTGGCCTCTCACTTTATCCAGGTGGTCATTCAACTGCTCTGTCACAAAGACATTGGCATCCTCATTCGCATGAGGGGCAGTGTTTAGTGACAACTCAGAGTCACAGTGAGAAGAGCCAGTGAGAGGAGGCGAAGCTGCAGGAGGGATTGTTTCTGAGGTCTGTGAGGGGCATGTGGAGCTGCTCCCACTCCAGTTACCACTGGATGACTGGTGGTCATCTTTCTGGTCCATGTGGCTGCTGAGGAGGACGCCGGCAGTGGAGATGCAGTGGATGGGGCTCCCAAAGGTGTCTGAGTTGGAGGAGATGTCACAGCTGCCAGAATCGGCGGCCATTCGGGATAGACGTGACCGCCCTCTTTCACTTAACTTGTGCTGGGGGCTGTGAAGATGTTGAGAACAGGCCAGGCCCAAAACAGGCTGGTGTTCCTGTGCACTCGGACTGCTTGGAGTCTCACTGCAGTCATTAGGGACTCTTTCGTGGTCATGCATGAAAGGCTCCCCCTCTTCATATGTTGAAGGTTTAGCACCAACTTTGGGCTCAGCATCTCCACTTCTGTTTCCCTCTCGAGGAAGGCTGCGAGATCTTGTGCGAGTGCTCACTGTAGGAGTAAACATGGTGTCACCTTTGTCTGCCAGCGCGGAAATGTTGCCAGCGGAATGAGAAAGGGAAGCTGCAATGCTCTGACCCCTTTGAGCTCTGATTCTCCTTCTGGATGGGGCAGCAATCAGAATATCCTCGGTTTGGCACTCAGAGTCCCTGGTTCCAGACCTCCTGTTGACAGTGTTGGAGGGGTCTGGGTTTGTGTGCACAATCACATTCCTTTCCCTCGCCACTGGTGATTCATCAGAATCTAAGGCACATGGAAAGCACAGTGAGACATTTCATACAGTAGCAGTCTGATAGACATTTTGAGAGACATCAGCAAATGTGTATGCAGGCCTGTCAGAGCTTTCTCTTACAGAAAACAATTAATACATGAAATTGGGAAAAAGTAAACATGTTTTCTGTGGTTCTCTCTCTTTCTTTTAGTCTCTATGTATGCATTTTATGCATATACACATATCTATATATAATGTAGATATACTAAGAAAAGATGTGCTTATACATCTTTATTGTCACATTAATTTGCTTCCAAAAGTGAGCACTTTTAAAAACTAAAGCACATTTTCTCTTTTTGCCCACTATTTTCTTACATTTTTGCCCACTATTTTAAATCTACATTTTATAACAGAAATTAAATGAATGAAACCACAAACTCTATTAAAAGAAAAAGAAAAAGAATCTAATTTATAAGAATGCTACTATAATAATAAATTTTTAAAAACACAAGCAGGGATATTCTAAACATATTGAATAGGAAAAAAATAGAAACATTCACCAAGGACATATTTTCAATAGTCAATCTTTGAGTTTGCCTGCAGTTTACCTTCTAAAATAATTAATGTCATCGAAGTATGTCTCTCTTCAAATGAAGCTAAAGTTTTCCAAAAACCCTTGCATTGACTCTTGTTTTACTCTTCATTCACAATTTTTACCTTAATAAAACTTTTACAAATTAATAAAATGCTATATTTCAGCCACAGTGCCTGAATGTACATGCCTGAATCTATAACATTAAACCTCCAGTCAAGAACAGAGAATTTAAAAGTAACTCCACCTGGCTTGCTGAATAGAAAACAAATGCTCATCATTTCAAAACCTCTACTGATTCAAACATTTAATATTTGTAAGGATGCAACCACTTTAAGGCCAAAACCATTAGCGTTTTTGGATACCACACCTATTTCTTGTTGAACTCTTCGGGGAATACCAGAGATGGTTTTCCTCCTCCTCAGTTTGCGTCTCCTCTGGAGTACGGATTGTGAATGAACAAGAGAGCAGCGTATACTAGCCTCTCTGTCAAAACCAACTCCTGCAACCCACAAAACAGGTCTCATTAGTCTTCAGAAATGGCAAACCAATGTTCGTTTGCTTGGAGCACAGTGATATTTATTGATTGGAAGTGAGGGGAGAGTTTGGATTAAGCCTGTGAACAAAAATAAGGGAGCCCTAGTCAGCTCTTATTTAAGTTATGCTGCAGTACATTAAGCTTTACGTCTAAATGCAGCACTCCACAACAGCTTGGACTGCCAAAAGTAACAAGCTAAAGAGAAAACCAAAAGAAAGAGAAGAGGAAAGGACATCAGGAAGTCAATTTCACACAGAAATGGCTCCTTAAGCATTTATAACCTTTAGTGACTACTATTTACTGATCTATTTCTGGGCTCTCTGAAACTGAAACCTTTGCATAGTAGATCAGTAGCCAAGAAGTGAACCTGAATTAGTTCAGCTAACGTATTCTGACCCATTTCTTCATTAAAAGCGCCTTTGTGAGTTTTTTCCTCTCCACCTCTGATGCCCAGATCTTTCTCTTGAGTGTGTGCACATGCATGCCTGTGTGTGCACGCATGTACACACACACACACACACACACACACACACACGCACGCACGCACGCACGTGCGCTGCTATGAGGAAACACAACAGTCCAGGGATTTGTTTTTTAAATTATCATGTAACTTTGTCTACTTTCTTGTACTAGCTAAATTGGATGTGTTTTGGTTTGGCACCAGCTGTCCTACCAGTATGAAATAAAAATGTAGGGCAGGAGCCAGATCTGGACTTAAATGGAGTCTCTTCTGTTCAAGTTATAAAGCTGGAATTCTCAGGGTTACTCCATTTGTTTGTTTTTGTAAGTATGAGGGGCCAACCATGCTGCTCATTAATTTTACTGTCTATATATAATCACATCATCAACACTACATGCAGTCCTATCAAAACTACAGTGACAAGGAAGGAGGTGTGGAATTCAAAGTGTATTAGACACAGGAAAGTCTTGTATTTTTCAGAGTGAGCTGTCTCTCCAGGAGCCATAAGGCTATGTTTTAGAATTTGATGATCTCATCACTTAATTGTTAAGCATGAGGCTGAGTGGCATATAAAATCTTGGTTCAGCCCCACAACGAAGCAGTTGAGTTTTGCTTAATGTCACAGTGCTAACATGTTCTAGAATTTGCTTTGAAAAGTCTGTATCACATGAATGATTGCAATATTATCACAGACTTCATACTAGTGGGATTCTCCTTTCTTAGTTCCCACTAAAAATTTAAAATTCAATTCTAATCTTAATGATCATAGAACATATGGTACACAGACACAGATACTGTTTTATATGGACATCATTAACATTATTCTCATTAAAGCTCTTAAAATCAATATTTAATCTAGGCCTCAGTCTAAGAGCTTCTGAAACAAAGCAGAAGGGAAGATCTTCCCTTTTTTCTCATCACAAGATGATGGCCCTTAATCATAGATTTGAAAACAAGATTTTACTTACTGTGTCAGGAAGGAAGCAGGTGCTTCTAATAATCAGATGTTTCCAGAACTGAAAACTAAGAGGGTGCCAAAATATTCCATTTTGGCAGCTGAACTTCTCTAATATATCCCACTGAGTTTACAGAGATCAGATAAACGCACATCCTTAGAATAATTTATCCTACAAGTTGAGTAGGTCATCAGGCAAATTAACTCCCAGCTCATGACCAGCCAATCAACTAGAACTTCTTTTTATTATTGTAGTATTTCAGTAGGGAAATAGTATCTGTCCCAGATACTGGCCTCTTTGCTCCCATTCCATGTGAGAGAAATCTGAGTGGGGTTAACAATAATTGTGTCCAAAATGCATCTCAATGGACATGCAAACTTTAGTCACATAGTACCAAGATGAAAATCAGTCATAATATGGCTGTTCTGAAATTTTCAATATAAAAGTAAGTTAAAATATAACTACTAGAGATGTTTAAAGAAAGTCCAACAACAGACCATTTAACTTCTGTCTTTGAAAATCATACATATATAACATTATTTGGCATATAGCTAACGTTACCAAATCTAGTTCTGGAATTTGTAACTGCTGCCCATAAACTTTGAAGAAAGGTACAGTTAGGCTTGTTTCTACCTACATGCCCTTCAAATTCTTCATACCCAAGAGGAGGAAGGTAGAGCATGAACGGAAGATAGGCTTGCTAGTTTTAAAATTGAATTCACCTCTTCATCTAGGCATTCATATTTTTAGGTCAAAATCCCTAAAATTGATGCAGAAACCTAACTGATCCTTTGAAAAGGGCCAACTTTCATCCAAGGAAACATAAAAACAAATTTTCAGATTGCATAACAGGACCTTATTTATGGTTTTAGAACCCTGGGATTTGCTGTTTTCTTTCTTGCAAAGCCATACATCATTATCATCTGATTAGTCACTGCCACTGTCTCCATTGTTTCAGTAAGCCACAGCCAAAGAACTATTTGGTGATTTTTTTTCAAAAAAGAAACTGTCTGTCATTTACATAACAAGTGGGTCACCAGAACATATGCAAATTGATGTTCAAACCTTGACAAAAGCATATTGTAAATCTTGAGGGTTGCATTCTGATGAAAAAGATATTACTTGTTTACAAAATGGTGTTTCTAGGTGGTAGGCCCAACAGCACAGGGTTTGGATATATTTAATACATAGCATATTCTAATGCAACTGCCCCTAAGAGGGGAAAAATAGGAACAAAAAAAAAAAAAAACAAAACAGAAAATAGAACGATACCAGTGACATTGATGGGAATAATGCAAGAAGAAATCACTTGGGCGTCCTGTTTCATCTTCTCCTCCGGCGTTGGAAGAGGTAGTGCTTTGCTCCAGTTGGTCTGCTTGTCCAGTGTAGAGGGGATATTGTGTATTGGGTTTTTTGGCCTCTGCCCTAACATGACATCTGTCTCTTCATCCTCTGCGGGGTGGGACTGCAAACAAAGTACACCGAGACTCAACCATCATAGCTTGTACAGAATCACACAAAGAAAGAATGTCATAATATAGATAAGAAAGAAGGAAGTCAAAAGTAAGCTTTTAGGACACAGGAAGAATTCCTAGAAATAGTTAGTATGCACAACTATTTGAAAGTATTATGTCAATAGTCAAACCACACAAAAGAAAACAAAATGGGTCAGATAAACATGCTTTCCATGTGAAATGAAACTAGGAAGAAAGACAAGGTAGTCAGAAATCCCCAAACTTCAAACTGATGAAAACTGCTCATCTCTAAGCCAGTGAAAGGTTGATTTGCTTTTTGGCTCTTTATCTCACCATAAATTCCTATCAAAAATCTTAGGAGATCTAGATGTGTAGGATGAAAGGAGGAAAGTGAGTTAGATGCCTGACAAAAAAAAGCTCAGAAAATGTGCCCCAAAACCTGGACTAAGTAGACATTCCAGAATCCAACATCTGAAGGCCGTGCCAGCCTAATCAGAGAGGCTATTAAAAGGCAGAGTTACTTTCACTGTAGGAGGATGATTTTTGGAAATTACATTTTAAGAACTCAGTTTCATCAACATTGCATGCACATGGAAAAACAAAACTGAGCAGCACCCTTCCAGCTATACTGGGAAATATAAATGTTATCACTGGGGAAATGACTCAAGCCTGTTTCTTTTTCGAATTTAGAAGGATAAAACAGTCCTAGTTTATTTTTCTCTCAGCTTTGCGATGCAAAACTTTTCTTCCAGTTGCATAGTTAGACTTTTATTTATATATGACATTTGAAAAATTTCCATCCAAACCTTTGATAAGTATTAATATTGTCTAACTTTTATACTAGGGTTGGGCATCTAGCCCAAATTATTAAAAAGACACCGTCACAGTTAGGATTTCAAGGTTGGGTTTCTAAACCAGATTATTAAAAGACCCAGCTTTTACCACTGAAGTTTTATTTTTTTGATACAGTTTGAAGAAAAGTGAGTATCTATATAAAATAAATATTTTTCTCTTATTCCAGTAAGGTTTCAATAATATTCTAATATATTAAAATTAGAATCATTAAAAATAATTCTCATCCTCACAGTCAGAAATGTCGTGCCCTGCTGACTCAAGAGTTTCTGTATTGTCAAATGAACTGTTTTTAAGTCCCCTTAAAGAATAGATTCCAGAGCTAGTTGTTGAAAATAATCCCCAGTATTTACTTACCTTAACAGAGGTGTCTGCAAAGCCCCCCAACACACCCAACAGGATATGAGAATATGATTTCCCCCCCCTGGGAAAGATGTGTTAGCCATGAAGGCTTTAGTAAAATATTGCAACCTTCTTTCTCTCTTCAGCTTTTGTGCAGATTCCCAGCTAGGCGAATAGCTCAAATAAAGTTTGAACACAAAAGACTGTTTCCTAGGTAACTTCCAAAAAGAAAAAAAAGTTTGGTGCATGCAGAGAGAGAGAGAGAAAGAGAGAGAGAGAGAGAGAGAGAGAGAGAGAGAGAGAGAGAGCTAGCAAGCCAGCGCTGGAGCAAGAACAGAGCTGGAGAGAAACCCTACCACCAAAGGCCTCATTTTGTAGGCGATTCCTTCCTTGAATAACAATGGACTAGGAAAAGAAGAAAGGACAGTGACCTTACTACAGGTTCTGATCAGCAGCCAAAAGCACTTTTTACTTAATGGTGACAGGGCTAACTGATTGCCAGAGAATTCTTTTGTCCTGTTTTTTTTTTTTCGCTTTTTTTTTTTTTTAATTTCAAAAGCTGAACCTTTAGAATTTTGATAAATATAGGGCAAGTTAGAATTTCATTCCTCGGAACTACAAAGTCCAGGAACAGCGATGGGTGATTCCCGTGTTGAACAGAGTCGCAAATTGTACCTGGTGGGAGGAGGTAGTAAGTGGGGAAAATGGCCAATAGCATGGGTGTCTAAATTATATTTTGTTTAATTCAAGTTAGGAAAATACCACTCTTTCAATTAATTGAAAAAGAACAACTGTTAGTTAGAAACAAGAGCGTTTGCAACAAAATTAAAGGAGAGAAGGAGGAAGAGTGTGTGGAGAGAGCAGGAGAGGGCTGTGAAGGAATGTTCTCAGAACCAATACCTTTCTACTCCATGGGGCCATGTGGCAACACTCAGTAGGGGAGGGCGAACGGGTGCTGTTAAACTATGAACATGAAATGCAAAAGAAGAAAAAATTAAAAATGTACACACAGTATACCCTGGTTAGGCCAAATCTATGATAGTAATGAATGAACCTATGGAGGTACCTCCCTTTTTCTAAATGGGCCTTTAGTTTTAAGAGGGAGTATGAATGGTACCTAAGAGCAGACTCTGGAGCTCCACTTCCTGAGTTCAAATCCTGGCTACCGGGCTCAGTTTTTGTGTGACCAGGTACAATTATTCAACTTCTCTAAGATCAGCTTCCTCATCCGGAGTAACATAGGAAAATAATATCATCTACCCTCCAGGGCTATTTTGAGGACTAAATGAGTAAATGTATGTAATATATTTGGAAGAATTCTGGCACCCAATGAGCTCCATTTGTTAGTGTTGGCCACTACTACAACTATTATTATTATCTTTACCCCATAGCTGTGGAATATCTGTGAAAATGTCTTCATAAATCCTAACTTTTCCATTCTTTAGATCTCAGCCCCATTTGCTCATTTGGGAAAGACTGAGTTATTTTCTCCTTACCGTGATTTTATTTTCCTATGAACTATATGGAAGAAAATTTCTCATGTATAATTTCTTCTGCTAGTCTGTTCAAAATGTAGCCCCTGATAGACTACCTTTGAAGACTGCAGTGGCCCCATGAGTGTGTCTCCTATGCAGTCCCATGGGTCCCCCATTATTCTTTTAATGCTACATGGTCACTGTCTTGAGATTCTTGAAATTCTTAATTTTCAAGTAAGAGATCCTGCATTTTCATTTTGTACTGGGTCTGCAAATTCAATAGCAAGTTTTGTTTGTACAATAATCTGGTAACCAGTGCCTTCTTTTCAGGATCTAATGAAAAAGATATTGTAACTTTTTTCAAGGGGTACTGGGGAATGAACCCATGGCCTCATGCATACAAAGCTAGTGCTGTACCACTGAGCTATACCTTCAGTCCTTATTTAAAGGTATATTTTGAGACAAGGACTCACTAAATTGTTCAGGTTGGCCTCAGACATGGGTTCCTCCTGCCTCAGCCTCTCCCAGAAGCTTAAATTACAGGCACCATCACACCCAGCAACACTGAAACCCTTTGGAACATCACCTTTAGATTCAGTTAGGCCTCTGCTGTAGCACTTAACCTATAGCTTGGTTTCAATGTGATGTGAATTATCTCCACATATATCTATTAGATTGTAAATTCCTAGGGGTAAGCCACAATATTTAATTTTTCCTTTGCATCCAGCAAAGTGCCTCTCCAATGGTGAAAGCTCACCAGAAAGTGTGTGAACTTAAATGATACCAGGTCTGTGTGTTTTAATAGTGATGAAAAACACCTATAAAGTAAGAGCATGTTCAAAGTCTAAAGAGGAAGCAGATGCCGCAGAATCCAAGAGAATTACTCTCTTAGTGAAAATGGGTAAAAACAAAGCGAGGAAGTGCCACAAGAAACCTTTGGTTCCATCAGAGGCTCAGAATAGATGGTTGCTGAGCCTAGTTCTTCTTTTTTCTTCTGGTACTGGTAACTGACCCGAGGCCTTTGGACTAAGTTAGATCCTTAGCAGCACGATCACCCACTTTTTCGATTTTGAGACATGATCTCACTAAGTTGCTTAGGAAGGGCTTGAACTTGGGGTCCTCCTGTGCAGACTCCCAGAGTGTTGGAATGACAGGTGTGTGCCACCACCCTCAGCTGTCTAGTCATTCTTTAGCCTATAGCAGACATGCATTTGGAGGGAGTGTCACTCAAGGTCTAAGTTTCTAGATTTTAACTGACAAGGTTATACATTAATTTTTAAGCAGAGCAGATTTCTTCTCCTCATGCTCAATTAACTTTGACCCAGATATTACTAAGTCTAACAATTCTGTAGAGTCTATGGCTCACTCACTGAAAGCAGCTGTTTTGACAGATATGGTTGATGTAGCCCAAGTTCAGACACTAACTTGTTTCTTTTCTATGAATCAACCACAGATAATGATGTGAAGGCCTCGCAAATGACACTGTGGTACGTACAGAGAAAATCAGTGGGCAAAAGGGAGAATGCAAATGAAGTCTTTGTGGGAAGGGCACCTGCTTCAAAGAAACCAAAGGCTTTGGTGCCTCATTAAAAGATTTTCAAAAAAATTGCACGGTAGGAAACTGCAGGTCAGAAAGCACATAAATGATACGAATATCAATATGTGAATTTTGGTAGTTTATCACAAATCTCTGAAATCTACTCTCCTATCGAGTATTACTTTTCCAGAAGAGACAAGTGTTTCTTTTTCTCTGTTCAGGAAAAACACTCACTCAATTAAATAAGAAGTAATAGGTTGCAATGACTGAGGATGGTTGTGACCAAGTCCAGAGGGTTAGGACAGACCGAGTTTGGGTCACTGATTGAGTCAAGGCCTCCTTGGGTTACACTCTACAGCAAATTTTTCCATCAGCTAATTGGCCGCTCTACTAAATAGTATAGTAGCTCCAATCTCTAGCTTGTGAGGACCAAAGCTGAGTATAGGGACTTGGGTGTGGAAGGGTTGTGCTCTTTGCTTCCTCCACCTAGATACAATCATTCAAGTTCCTGTAGATGATCTGCAGATTTAGAATATTTAGGCTTATTCTATTAAAATGGGCTATGATTTTCTTTTTTCGATGAATTAGTAACTCCTTTGGTGCAGTATATGAAAGTGTCCTCTTTCCTGGTGTTTAGTCAAAGGAAGTAAAATTGTTCTGATTATTTCTGATTAGATTTTTATATGGTGAATACAAAATTAGTTCACAGATTTTTTTCCTAAGTTTTCTAAGAAATAAGATTGCAAAAAATGATACCTTTGGGTTATCTCTTTGGGGCCCAGCATGCCACCCTTTAATGGGTGCTGATGATTGAGGTTCAGAAAAGTTGGATGTTGATCAAATTTGTACGAATTAAGTTATATTTTAAAGCTCTATTTAAGTGGATCTCATTGCTTATTCAGAGACAGACCTGTTCATAGCTGTATTTCTACGGCTTCAATGGTGTTCCATAAATATTTGCTGTACTGCTAGCACCACCCATATACCTGGTGTAAGCAAACAAAAATCTCTCCTAAAGAAATGATTTCTATTCAGTTTTTCAGTACAACTTCCAGTAAAAAGTTCAAGGTAACAAAGCATAGGAGGAGACAAGACAACATGAACAAAAGGCACCTAGGACAATAGATAACAGAAGTGGATCCATAGGATTCCTGATTCTGGAATTATCACTCACTGCAGGAGTGGCAGCAAACACTGGTTTCTCCATAATAAATGTGTGGGAAGAGTGATAACAGATCACTCATTCACTTATTCGTGAGCATTTCTAAGATTAGGGTCAAAGTCAGCCCTGGTGGAAACTGTCAGATTCAAAATAATAATAATTTCTCCCCCAAAGTATATGTGTATTCACTATAATTCTTTCTTTCAACTTTTTCTGCACTATCAAGATATTCATAATAAAATGTTATTGAAAAATGAAAAAAAAGGAATATTTTCTCCTCCATTGCCAGGCTTCCATTCTTGCCTTCTATCACTGATTTTGAGGGGACTCAGACTTCAAAATTTTAGAGTCAGCCAGTACCAGCCATGGCTATCTTGTAACCCACAAAGGATATTTATTTGATGTCTTCGTTCCATTTCTGCTCCTGTGGGCCCCATCAGACCAATGAAATCATTGGTATAGCTACTCCTGAGATAGCTTCAACAAAAACCAGAGTGATACAAGGCCAGTGTTTAGAATAAGAAATCACAAATACTATACTCAAAAGTAGTTAAATTTCATTGGCGAATGCTGAAAGAATACTTTTAAAACCCAACCTTTCTTCTAGTGTGTATGTGAGAAAAGTTCATTTCCCCACTTTTGTGGATATGAACAAGTATTTATTTAAAGATTTCAAGATTTCCCCCAATCTGTCTTTTAATGCCAGAAGAAAAAAATAATTGCTTCATTCTATATTTCACTTTCTTTTTGGTTTCATTTTATATGCTGATGGGGGTTTACTTTGCTTCAAAACTTTCCAGAAGACATCTGTTAAAATGTTGTGGGTATTCCAGCAGGAAATGTTTTGAAAAATTGGCTTTGGTTTGTGATCTAACTGATACCACATGGCATTAATAGCAGTCAACTTTCAGAGTTGATTTATTACTATCATGCTGTCTTAAACATGAGAAATATTTACTAGAGACTGGGTGTTGCGGTACATTTGAATAAGAGAATAAAACCTTAGAGCAAAGGTGTCCACTGAAAACCACTCTGGGTTTCTAGTGAGGTGATACGAGCTCATGGTGTTATTTTACTATAGGGCTTACTCATCTTTAGAGTAAGTCCCTGCATCTGTGTGTGTAGTGCAGCCCATCTGTGAGATGGAAAATCCCCCATCTGCCTCAGATTCTTTTGCGCAGGAGTGCGTGTGGATGTGTTGTACACAAATGCGAACTGCTTTGATCTTTCCCGAAGGATTAAAAAAGTTTGGCAACTCCTGCTTCACACGTCACTCTTGTTGCTACAACCACACAGCACTTTTATTTCCTTAAGATTATCTTGAAGTCTCCCTTTGGCTGGCGCTGTGCTCCCACTTCTAGACATGTTTAATCAGACTATTTTTAATTCATCCTGGGCTTCTTTCTTCCCTTTTTTATCTCCAACATTCACGAAGCAAACAACCATGGCAAAGCAAAATGAGGAGGTAGGTAGAAGTTGAGGGGACATACTGCATTCTTGTTGTCCTAAGTCTTTTCTCCTTTTCGAGGTTTGCCCTTTGTCACTACTCTCTCTCCAAGGGTGTCAGGGCCTTCAGCTTCTGCAAAAGGCCTGAATGTAATACCCCTGACTTGCACTGCCACTCCTAATGCCAAGTGCTCAAACCCTTCACACTGCTCTTCTGTGAAGCAAGAAAGAACCCCACAAATGTACCTGTAATAAGATGTTGAGAATTCCTCATGGAAAACTCAGGGACTAAATACCTCATGCAGAATTCAAGACAATGGTTGTGGACTAGAGAAGGAGATAT